GCAAAGAATTGCCGGAAGATGATTACTGGAATTATATGTCCAAAAACACAGGGAACGCTCAAGCTGAGATTGGAACACGGCCTGCCATCGCAACTGAAGCTTCATACATTATTCTTTCTAGACACTGCTACCGTAGACAAGGAATTACCGTAATGGAAAGTGTCCTTCAGCTTGAAAGGATTTGGTGTGTGTTGGGGAAAAAGCTTTCTCTCTGACTGCTGTAATTCAAATGAAGGTTTACTCAGCATGCGTACATGTAGAGACCTTGCCTTTACGTTTGCTTGGTTATGCACATTCAGACACTATCTGAGGAAGTATGCTACTCCGTGCATTAATTTACGCTCCCATCAATTAAATATTCCTCGGGCTTGCATGTAAAAGCTTGGTCCTTAGAGGAAAAGCCATTTCTTTTCAAGGTTAGGAGGTTGTTGAAAAGTGTTACTGTCATCTCTGAAAGTCAAACAAATGTAGAATGTGCAGTTTACAAACAACACCCTATTCATACATTTTTCACAATACAATGTAATCTTTCAGCACTAAATGGCAAAAATGTAACCACAGTGTGCACTGGCATAAATTTTTTTCTTCATTTGTAAACAGTTGGTATTCTAATATTTATATGTACTGGTACCAGTAACATTCCTTTCCAAAAAAAGAGGAAATAATACAGAAAAGCCCGGTTGTCCAGTCCTTTACAACACCTGACTGAAAAGTAAAGACTGGTCAAATTTTAGGGAAAATAGGGGAAAGCTGAAACTGCTTCGGTGAACTGAGATCATCTTCTCGATGCATTAACATTGGATGTGATTTTTTGCTTGTCAGCATTGTGTAAAAACAAAAAGCATTGTTTGTGCTCAGAACATAGGGTGCAAATACACTTTGCTTTTTACCTCATGGACTGATTTCCTTTCAAATTTTCCAAATTTCATTATTGAAACTCTTCCCTACTTTACATTCTGGGGTCGTCTCCATTTCCTGAGCACAGGTATATGATACATGTACCATTCTGCTCCTAGCCGAGAATGTACACATACATGTACCTCTGATATTTACAGAGCCATCAACTGTAGAATTCTGAACGTTGGAAACTCCTGTCAGCAACGGAACATTTACTGTCCCAGAAATAGACAGGTGCTCGATGGCAGTCAAGAATATATGGAACATGGACGATTCTAAATTCAGCAAGGAGTTTAGAACAGCATCCAATAATATAAATCTTCAGAACTTCCTCTATTCATGCAAAAATACCATCTCATGGGAAATTGTCAGCCAACATGGATATGTGTCAAATTCAACAACATAATGAGTGGGACTAACACAGGCTTACTCAAACCTGTTCATCAAGTTAATGGAAAGCAAATCCATTAATCAAGATATACATGCATACAATTCTGAAGGCCTCAGTTAAATCGAAGGAGAATCCTCAAAAACTGATAATAATTCCTTTCTAATATTTCCCCATTTTTATTCTATACTTCTCAACTATATTTCATTATCAAAAAAGTAATCGTTCATACGATCTACTGCAAAATACACCCCCAAAATGGCAAGACTTAGACATCATCATGAAGTATTTTTAACGAGTTGACAGGACCTCGTTCCTTTTACAGCAAAATACAAATCTTGCACACAGAATTATCCTGTTTGATCCCACTGAAGTTCCACTTGCTTGAAGCATTTTTAAACTACTGCTAATTTCAATTCAGTCCTCCAACTGATGAATAATTGCCTGACAGGAAATCAAACACAAGTAGGGTAGATTTCCCAAGAGTGTATTCACATACCTTCTGGCAAGGGATGTCTTACGCAGAATCTTCCAAAGTTTCCTCATTTTCGGCATGGTGAATGGGAAAGGGGCCAACAGCCCCCCTTTTTCTCCCTCAATCACAGAGACACACCCCCGCAAGATAGCTGGCGGCCAGAGTCGTCAAATGCCAAAAACACGGCTAAGCACTTCAATCAAAATTCAACAAACCACTGTCCATCCACTCATTAATGCAGCAAAAAAAGAGGCAAATGAGAAGTGAATCCAAGCATCCAAGCAAGGCTCCAGCAGTTCCGCTTTCACTTACACGGCTGCAGATGATGCCTCACTGGAATTGAAAATGACCACCCCCTAGATGCAGACCGAACCATTCTCTTGCTGCCATGGAGATACCAAGCAACTACCAGCATCCAGCCACTGGACTGTCACCATTTTAAAGATTGGGGATGTTCAGCTCAACCAGCTTCAAGAATGGACTGCATATTACACACAGCAACATTTCCAATTGTGACTGCTTGAATGATGTCATACAACACACTTGTGTTCAGAAACCTGGCATCACGCCCTCATAGAATGCTCCAACGTGACTAATATTTTGAACATAAAAGCAGGGGTCCTTTCTGGGACCTACTGCAGAGACTACAATTTACAAGTAGTAGTTACATGTAAGTGGTTTTGTGTATGTTCATTGTACCTGCATGAATAATAGCAAAAGCGCAGAGCCTGTTGTACCAGCAGAATGTTACAGGCAAACTGACAGGCCAGGACAATACAGAGGCAATTGACTCTGTCCTTGGCAATAAAGTGTGGACAAACATCCACCTCTGTAGATAGTAAAATACATAAACAGCACTTGCTTTTCCATGAATTTGAAACTGATCTTTGGAATTTCGGATCATGCATAATGCTGGTTTGTGAGTCATTGATGGACTTTTTTCCGTACTGTACTACCATCACAATCGAAGTTACACATCGCTGGCTGTTCTCTCACCTCATGCGGTATTGGATAATTACAAATTAACAAGAAAATGTGTTGTGGTCTTAAAATTACAAATTGCATGTAGGTAAATGTTTCACTTACAACTTTACAGCTTGATAGTCGCCCTATACATACAAAACAGACAGCCCTCACTTCTGTGTAACCTTTTTTTAATGATAGAAAGACAGCACTAAATCCATGAAGCATGAACTCACTGGGAAATTTAGTCACAACAGACAAAACATCTTTCACTTTCACTGAAATATACAGCCGCTTGCCCTTCGTTTGCCCTAGAATTCACTAGGGAATAATCACCCTTTCCCAGGAAACTTCCGGGCTTTTGAGGGGGAAAAAATGGTAAAGAAATAGCATACTTTGGCAAATACAATTGCAAGCCATCACTGCAATGGCACTGCACTGCACTTGAGCACAGGTGCCGGTGCAAGTGTAATGCCTTTTTGACCAATCAGGTGCTGTGAGTTGTCTAGCTTTTCTGCATCAGTCCTATGAAAGTCCTGGATGGCCCAGTATAAATTAAAAGGGAAGAGGGCAAAACTGGAAACAAAAATCCAAACACATGAGCTGGACATGTCTATATATGCTCATAATGGTGAACATGTCTGTACTGAAAGTAATACAATACCTTGTTAAGAGTAGAGAAACAGGAAAAAACATGATATCCCCCATTTGCAAAGAAAAAAGTGAAATATGGGCTGTTTACCCGTCTGGATCCACTCACATACGAGTACACATATTTGGCAAAATAAAATCTGAAAAAAACTTCGAACCAACAGACACCTGTTAAGTCATACACGGTCACTTTAACAGAAAATCCCTCTGGCAACATTTCTGCTCCCAAAGGCCAAATCCTACGCCACCAACACATCCATCCCCGTGTTTACCATTCATTTACCTCCTCTTCTTGTCTTTGGGGCCTCTGAATAACAGGGCCCATGTCGTCAACTCGCTGACGACAGGGGGCAAGTTTGGCTGCAGATGCTAGGTGGTAAACTCAATTTTCACTTGTCAGTGCCAAAGGCAGAGGCAGACAAATTAGATCAGCGTGGGGGGGGGGAAGAGGACGAGACGTGTCATTACCACAGGGAAAGTAAAAAAGACTGACGATGATGATTCAGGGCTTGATCTTGGTGATGAACAGAAGAAAGTGTGTATCCATATCGGGAATGGAGAGAAGATGGAGAGCGATTCAGCATACAACAAAAACCGGCTTCCAACCTCAGAGCTACCAAACTCAAAATATTGCATCACCTGCACAAATACATCACTGCACTTATGACCCAACTTACAGTTGATGTACCATAAAATGCTACCGTCCCTATACATGACGCGCTTTCATTTTTTGCCTCCAGTGCCTTGCTAGAGTTTTCAGTTTTGCATCACATTTTGAAATGACATCCAACTCCCAACATTCCCATTCATAAATTTTGGACTGAAGCTACAAAATGTTCTCAAAGGTTCAACAGCAGGATGACCGGGGGTGAGATTGACCAATGATAAAAATAGCTGAAAACAGCTGGAAAAAAGCATGAAGAAGCTGAACTGTGAAAATCTCCGACAAAAACTTTTGTACACAGCCAGTGAGGAAAAAAAAGCTGAACTCCAAAACAAAAAAAGCTGAAATCAGCCAGAAAGATGAGAAATCTCACCCCTGTATGAAAGGTAGCACCTGTATTTTACTGAATGAACTTGAAGTTTGGCAACACATCAGGAGGAGAGTGCAGGAAAACAACAACAAGGGCCACCTTAAGGAACTAAACTGAAAGATCATAAGCCAACTCCACTTCATGGATATCATTTGCAGAACACAAGCAAAACATGCAAGATGTAGAATCCATAACAACCTTCCTTGTCAGACTTCAACCACTAATAATCATCTTGAGGAAATTCCTTTTGTCCACTTATGCCATTTAATAGACCAATCCATTAAGTCCCATCCCATCATAGGACCTGCCACAAGTGGAGACACGCTCCTCAAGAAGTACATTCCCGTGGGGGGGGGGGATAAACTGGGATAATGCATGAACTCGCTGCGAAGCACTGGAGCTTTTATTTTCTCAGCAATAAATTTTGTGCATGATACAAAATTTCACATTTTGTGTGGGGAAATTTCTTGGATGTAGTATTCACCAGCAAATCAAGACAAAGTGTACGTGGAGATCCTAAGGTACTTCCTCAAAACAACAAAAGTAAAGAAATCAACATTAAAAAAAACTTGAGAAATAAATATGTACTCACTTGTAGCTGGACAGCCCCGAGTTCTGCCTGCAGAAAATGAAAGAAATGAAAAATGGAAGAACTTCAAAAATTGTTTGGAAAACACAAAACATTTCTCACACTCCGCTTTCGCACCAACTGCACTGACAACAAGGGATTTTTGGTCAAGAAAGTTAACCACAGGAAAAAGCATGATCATCCCAGATGGGGAAAATAGGAAGCTTATTAAAACTGACCGTAATCATTCACAAGGTTACAATGCAAACATTGGATGTGGCTCAGAGGGCAATTCTTGCGCCGGGATTCAAGGAACCTGCACACACTTTTCCTTGTTTTGATAGTATATTATTACTGTTTTGTTATGTAATGTAGAGTTGTTAAAAAACAATCACAGCAAGTATGAAGCTCGGAGTTCATCAACCGACCACCAAAGCTGGACAGGAAGTCAGAGGCAGGCCACACCGGAAAATATCGGGTGGCTCACGGATGCAATAGTCCAGGGCAAAAAAAAATTCATCAAGAGTAGGAATTTCCTTTCAGTGAAGAAGTTCTTGTGCCACTTTGTTTTGCTTCTTAACTTCCTTTTGTGCGGGTGTATCCGATGACCATAAAAGGACAAAATATGGCGGGCCACACTGACCACACTTCTTTGAAACAACATTGTTTTTGCAAATTCTGAACATGCATTATCAAAACAAATGAGTCAAGTATATGCATATGAAATGGTCATGTTTCTCCCCACTAATGCTCAAACTAAGCCCTAACCCAAACCCTAACCCAGAGTTGAACAAAGAGCTGTATACCCTTAACCCTTCTTGCATTCTCATTGGGGGAATCAGAGGACATTCATTTTGAGTTAAAACCCTGAAAGTCTCAATGGGAGGAATATCATGAGGAAATCTATATCCCCACAGGATCGCACATCTAGTTACTCTTTGATAAGAGTTCTTCCAAAGATGTGAAATGGTAAATTTGGGGGCACATACAGAATTTATAGAAACATTGACAATCAAACAATTTGATTCATGTATTTGTGAGTTACTGTTTGAAAAGTACAGACTTACAGATGATCAATGTAACTATCCATACAAATGCACCAACTATAAGCAGAGTACGTACTGAGCATACAAAATTTAGATATACTGCCCTCTGTTGGATTAAGTGCAAGACAAATAACATTTCTTGGAAATCTGCCAGATTGCATGCAGTATGGTGATCCTGAAGGGACATAAGACTCCTGACTAAGTCAGGAATTTATTCACAACTTGTCGCAAATATTTGTCAGGACCAGTTGTAAATAATTTTGCGACGTCATGAATATTTTTCACAACATGTCATGAATATAGTTATTAGCCACAAACTTGTTCCGAATATATTCCAGAAACTTGAAGGGTTCCATATTTGCCCGATTGGGATGTCAAGGCTTTTTAAGGCCCTCCAGAGCTACGGCTAAATTCAAGATACGTGTATGTCTTTACCGGGAACAAGGCTAAATTCAAGATACGTGTATGTCTTTACCGGGAACAAGGTATGAGGAAAGCAAACCTTGTTTTTCTGAGCCATGTCGTTTCCCAATGCCCTTGTTTCTTTCTCAATGCACAGCTTCACTGTTCACTTGGCATCGCAGGTGGACAACCATTCAAATGATGCAATAGTCCATGCGCATGGTCACTGCCCCACTGTACATGCAGAATGCTAAAGCCGGGCCAGGCATGCGCTTATCATCGTGTATTTGTCGTTTGTTATTGGCGCAATTACCCTCTAAGCTAATGGAAAAATATTCTCAACTACTGGTGAAAAAATTTGTGACCAGTCGTGAATAAATTCACGACGTTGCGAAAAAATTCGCATCTGGTTGTGAATAAATTCACAATGCAGGGAAAATATTCGCAAGTAGTTGTGAATATATTCACGACGTCGCAAAAAAATTCGCGACTAGTTGTGAATAAATTCACGACATCACAAAAAAATTTGCGACTAGTCGTGAATTTTATGCCCCTTCTGGGCCACCATAATGCAGCCCATGCAGCGGAGATACTGAAATTCTGTCTCCCACAGATGTGCATGTGTCCCAACAGTATACAAGTAAACAATCTGAGTGTTTTTGAATCATGCTGTTATGTTGCTGTTGGCATGTCAAAACCAGTATTTACTTTTTTCTAACAGCAATATATCTTTTTCACTTGTCAGGTTTGGAGTAACTTCAGAATTTGCACTGCCCATACAAATCTGGGCTTAAATTTTCTTAAGATTTTGGTGTAAAATCGACCTGGCATTTGTGCGTACATCTGTTTGCTAAAATTCTGCAAGACGGCATTTGACAAGTTCTTTTTTTTTTCGCTGTTCAATTTTATTAGCAGGTGTTTCGTAACTATCAAGGCCATCTGCAGACTGCAGTGACTGTATGTAACACAAGCAGGGTAGAGCTTGGGATAGTAATCATAATATTTCTGAGAGTGCTCGCAGTTTACAGAGTAGCTTGATACTGCCCTCTTTTGGCCAGACACTGACGGGCCCAAAAGTACAAACGTGATGTTGTCAGTGTATGCTGCCCTCGCTCATGCTGCACAGACACACATGCAAAACCAGATGCTGAAATAAATCATGAGGCAACTCTGTTCCAAGAAGAGGACCATTTTGTGGTCTATGAATCAACCTCAAAGTCACACCTGACAATGAACTTTGCTGCTCCTTTTTTCAGTGGGAATGTCCTTTCCTTATAATCAAGATAAAAACCGTGTCCTCTAGAGACAGTTTCTCCGAGGAAAACCGCTGTGTTCTATCCCCAGCGCAGGAAGTATCAATTTTCCAAGACAAACTCCCCTGGCCAGGCGTTGGGAACTCAATCAGTGTTGGGAAATCATTCAATTCTCCTGACACAATATTGCCACAGCGCCATTAGGGATTTGTGATCCAATAAAAGGAGTCCCCATCAGCCCGACTGAAAAAGTAAGATGTTTCTCAGCAAGAAATGTACATGTAGGATTCAATTGTAGGGTTTCCCGGCCAATTTCGGAAAATGCGTGACCTAATTTGTAAACTAAAATTTTGATTTAGCATATATTTTGAAAACGACTCAAAACCTGGTTTCACTTTTGCAATAACAAGCATTCAAGTTCCTTTGGCATCCTTCAAATAAATGAGTTGGCATTACACGTTTCAAAGGTTAGAAATATGTGACTGGGATTTTGGATTGACATATTCCTTGCCAATTACAACAAATGCGCATTCTTATTCGCTGAAAATCTTTCTTTTACCGTGACCCTTCAGAAGTGAGTATTCATTTTCATTGGCTGCAATTTCAAATCGCAAAATATACATTCAATTTGATTAGAATACAAGATTACACAAATCACAACACCACAAAAATGTCATGTTACTCATTTATAGTGTGTTTGTTATCAAACTGTCAAACAATTTTAGGTTTCTGATTGAAATGCAGCACAAGAAGGAAGGTCCCCTCAGCGCGGGTGTTTATAGGTCTCCTACAACAGTCGGCAGTTTCCGATGACAACATGAATGGTTTATTTCACTCATGAATATTCAAACATTTAACCAATCAACTAAACACTTCTAAGAATGTAACTTCTTTTAGCACACAAACGAATTCTAATTCTCGACAAGGCATACGTTAAATAACACTTAGTGCATCAAGAAATTCCAATTTCATTTTATCTGACAGGTCAATGACAGACCCATCAACACCACCTTCTTAAAACCTCAACAGACCAAAAGGTTCCAAAATCGTAAGGCTGCATATTCCATGTATGTGTACGACCAAAACACCATATTTTTGTCTATTCTTCGTCTCCTTTGCCTTCCAGTGCAACAGGCCTGTGCAGTACTCTCACCGTGTAACTTGACCGCTTTGTAAATGCTGCTAAATCAGATTTCCGTTTGGGCCAGGAAACAATTGATTCAAGGAGCTCAGGAAGGGTGACAAAAGAAGATTCTTCAACAGTAAAAAGATAGAGTTACAGATGAATGCTCCTCAAGTCACGAATTCTGAGAAATCAGTTTATTTTTTCCATTTGAAAAAGCATTTCAGCTCTGAGTACCTAGATATTCTTACAAGGTTCTTGCACTCTCACTACACAATCCAAAGCCAGGCACAGACAATAAAATGCCTCATTGTTACACAAATATTTATTTTCTGCAGCAACGGAGCTTTTGTTGGTAAGTTCACGGAATCCAATGAGCAAAAACTTGATCTCTCTGAGCTCTGTTTTATAAAGACTGTATTCTCTTTAAAAACTAGCACCAACAACATCACCTGACAAGAGAGATGAGTAAGTGGCTAGTGTTGGATGATACGAGGTAATCCAAAGAAATGACAGGAATTCACACCCCTTGCTCTTGCCACATTTACAACCTACAGTTGTGTATATTATTTTTACAATAATGTGCTCGCTCAGTCATCTCTTTACAGCATCTATGCTTCAGTTCAGGGCGTTAATCCATTTTAAAAAGTGGGGGGGGGCAGTGGGACATACACGTAGCCCTGGATCGGAACAAACGAGAGTGCAAAGCACCAAGCCCTGAGTGGCATGGCGTCTGGGGCCCACTCAAGGGCCCTGGAAAATGTTGGAGTGTAGATGCTTTGTGGCGTGATCTGAGACAATTTCTGGTTACAAAAGCATTCGTTAAATAACTGGCTAAAGTAAGGTACCGGTATACATTTTCATTTAGGTTTGGGGAAAAAAATGGGGGGGACAATTGATATAATATTCCCCCAATTGGAAAAGTGGCGGGGGGGCATGTTCCCCGTCCCTCACCGATTGACGCCCATACTTCAGTTATTCCATGCAAACTACAAGGCCCCACTGGCTTGCTGCACAATGTCCATAGTGGTGGGCAAGATCAGATTTTGTGATTGGTCAACACTAGTCTACTTTGCATGCATACAAATGAGCTCTGGCCAACTTCCAGCCAATGAGATGCTTCCAATGAAAAGGCAGGCATTACATTCACGAAGACATTCAGGAGGGAAGGAATATATGTAAATTCTTCCAAGCTGAAGTGATCTGAAGGGGAAATGGTGATCACAG